TTCGCGCGGTAAAGAACCGAGAGAGATACAGTTATAACTAAGAAACGAAATGTTCACCACATAAAAAGAAGAATTTTGTCTGTGCAATATCGTTTTTATTTTTTCGATATCACTTATACAAAAAAAATTCTTATTGTTTTWTWATACATTAATTTTGTGTTTTTTAAGCATGAATAACTATTTTTGTAGTTCGGATATCGAAAAAATAAAAACGATATTGCACAGACAAAATTCTCCTTGTTATGTGGTGAAAATTTCGTTTCTTAGTTAYAACTGTAGCTTTCTCGGTTCTTTCCCGCGCGAAACAGTTTTTGCAATGTTACGCACTTGTATAAGACGGAGACACGGATTAATATATTAATCCGTGGACGGAGACAACACATGCGGGTGTAGCGTCCTCTTAATATAAATCTAAATATAATATAATATAAATTTAATATCATAAACAGGGGCGGACTGACAGGGCGGGTAAGTGGCCTTACCCACCCAGGCCCTCTAGACAGTTTATGTTTGGGCCTCGAGCTATATTTGTTAAGTTTAATAATTTTTCTATTCCACACAGTAATCATTACCACGAAAAGTCGAAAACAAAGACTACAATATTACAATAGGTACTATTTACAAAAATTAAGTAACTGGAACAGTCAGACTGCAGCCGYGAAGGCTATGAAAGTTATTTTAGATTCATTTTTGGGATATGTGTAATTTATTAATTTTTTAAAACAATAATAGTAATTAGTATTAAAAATAGTGTTTAAATTAAAAACAATACATTTATTTTTGAATTTTTTTATTTTATTTGTATTGAAAAAGATTTAAGATTTAAATATTGAAGTAACTTGTTGTTTTACTATTTGGAACTTGGTTATATAAAAACAATTTTTTTTATTCATTTTATTTGTATAATAAAGTTTAAAAATTTTAATATTGAAGTAATTTGTTTTATTTTATTATGTTAAATTTTGTTGAGTATAAACCTACAGAATTTTTTCATTTTTTTATAAGTTCCTTAAAAAGTTATTTTATTTAAAATAAACATTGTAACATGAGTCTYTTGTCTGGTAGTTTTAAAACTTAATATACCCACTTGGGCCTTCAGGGCCTCAGTCCACCCCTGATTATAAATATAATAAACGCTGTATACTCATAAACTCACAAATATTATTACACGTTTTGCTAAACAAAAAAAAAGACATATGCTTTTATTGTAGATTTGTAGACAATCATCAATCATGTCATATCTTTTCAACTTTGACTACAATATTGTAGACATAATAATTGGAAATGTCAGATAGAATTATTATTATTAATTGTTTGAATCGTTTCGTTTACAATTATGTGGTGTCTATAATAGTATAATTATATGTTCAGTACAACTGTCAACTGCCAGGGCCGACCTTAGGTATTTTGCCGCCCGGTGCGATTTAAACATTTTTGTCCATTAATTATTAAATTATAATACGTATACCTACATTTGCATACAAATAAATTAATAAATTAATAAATACAAATGTTATCGTAATCATTAGGTATTTAAACTATATATAATACTAAACAAAGTTATACTCGTATACATGGTTCATAACAAGTACATAAAAATGAATTATCTATTGAAACTGCATTTTCTTGCTTTTTCATTAGCAAAATCTTTTACCATGTCAACGTCATTTAGTTGTTCTGCCAATTCATGCCTACATCTATTTCTTTTGCTAGTTCTGTTGCCTCTAGTATAAACTTCTCAAATGATTCATCGTCATTAGATCTGAAATTTGCAAAGTACATTAATAATCTTTCCAATAATTTTAATGCGGCACTTATGTCAACATTTATTTTTTGCATAAGCTTACTAACTGGGTTAATTTTGTTAAGCAAATCATACCAGAAAACAATAGAAAAAAGGAATTTAAAATTTTTGATATGCTTACAAAGGCATTCTGCTTCATATTTGGTCATTGCATCCAAATTATTGTTATCAAATATATCAAATAAAGCATCATAATATACAGAGTGTATCAGATAGAACTGACTAAAAAAAAAAAAAATATGCTTATTAAACGTACAACAAAAATTGTGAAAATTATATAATTAATAACTAATTTAAGAAATATACTCATTTCAGAAATAATATTGAAAATAATATGTGAAAGAAGTTATAACGCTCCAAAGTAATTT